CACTCTTTCAAAACTTTTCAGTGCTCAGCAGTTCCTACTGAACTATCTTCCAGATTGCCAGTTCAAACAATGTATAATGTCACCATTCTTTAATGTATTAAATTAGAGAAAGTAGACAACTAGACAACTTGTAGTCAGCTAAAGGACTCCATTGAGTAGTTCTTCTTCCTAGGTCAGCTTTGATGAAGGTTGTGGTTGTCGTCTTCTACTTGGAAGGTTGCCACCAGCTTTTCTTCAAATGTTTCTCAGAAACTTACAGGGCTGGGTTTGTAGCATCAGAGGAAAACATTTCCTGTGTTGAGATTTCTGAAGTAAACTGAATGCACTTGCTCTATATTAAACAAATCTGTAATGTCACTAGCTCCATTTTGCCCTTTTGATGAGTAGACCTTGAAGTTGTACATTAGGCGGGGAGAAAATTATCTGTCTTACACTCTTTAGCAAACACTGACTTATCACTGTTTTATACTTGAATTTCTCTATAATTCAGTCATAACATGTATTAATCTTACTTAAGATTTTAGATGCTATGAACAAGGACTGTGGGATACCACTAAGCCAGCTACAAGTAGATGGAGGAATGACCAATAACAAAGTTCTCATGCAACTCCAATCAGATATTCTCTGTATTCCAGTAGGTAAGATGAAAGTACCACTATTGTTTTCTTTGTAAAGCTGAAAAAAGTATTGACTTGTAATAGCTAATGAGGATCAGTTGGTTGGCTTTTTTTCTTGCTAATCTTTTACTACTACTTGTGAATATTTTTGCATAAAAAGTTATTGGATCTTACATCAAATGTTGAGAATCATTTTTCTAGGGAATTGTTGGCACTTGTTTCTCTTGTTGGAATATTATAGCATTATGAGTGCATTGAACTTTGAAGTTGTCATATCAATTTCTAAACATCTAGCGTCTTCTACAATCAGTGAAATTAATGCTCTACTGCAGCATGTTGGCCCTGAGAATCTTACGCAGAGTTAAACCAGAACTTTGCACCTCCACTGCTCATGTTTAAGTAAGCATTTCAGCAAACAGCAAATACACTTTTTTTGTTCCCTTTGCCTTCACAAACCTTTGATCTCATTTACAGGTAAATAGGAGACCCACAAAATACCTTGACCACTCTGTTTTTCCCAGAACAGCAATAATAATATGAAATACAAACCCAAACAGAGTTGTTCCTCTCTGCTTGCCTCTCTGAGGCAAATAATGTTTTACAAAGCCATTATTTTGATCCAACCACAATGCAAGCATTTTGCAAATGATCATACAACACCTCTTTCATAGAAAGTCCCTGGAATGATAAAAAGGCTTTTGAAGGATGTGTTTCAATGCACTGAGTGCATGGCTTTTTAAAGACTTCACTTGAAAAGTGTGAGTGGAGCATTTCAGCATCAGTGAAAAGCAAACATCTTTCTCAAGACATGTTTTAATAAGTCTGGCTGATTTAGAATTGTTGAATAATGTAAGTTATACGTTAGTGTTCTTAAGGATGCCGTATATCACTGAGCAATATCAGGATAATATTATACATTCTCAGCTATAATGATGAATGATAATTTGTTGTATGAAAGTACTAATCTTATCTAATCTCACCTAATATGCAGCTGCTAGAAAATTATTCAGAAAAACATCATGATGTCTCTTAACCACAAACATATGAAACACTTCAGTAATAGCAAGCCAGTGAAAAGTTATTAACTCTAGAGAGATTATAGCTTACCTTTAATGATATACGGTACACAAGTCTCAAATTATCCAGTGCTTAATAGTTACCAGATGAAAGGACATGATCAGTAAAATCAGCTTTTAAAGGATCCTCTGCTTGAAGCAGAGGAGGAGATAGTTCAAGAGTTAATGGAACAGATTTACCACTAACATCTTGGACAGGATGATCTTCTGCAGTGTCTATGGAAAGTGAACAAACTAGTAAGTAGAGGTGTATAACCTCCTTTAAGACTTCTTTTCTAAATATAAGTGCTTTTAATAAAATAAAGTATCTAGAGCAGGGGAACAAGATGGATAAGCCAGGGGATCACTGCTTTGGGAAGGGAGAGAGAGAACGATAAAATATCTCATTATTAACAAGAACATACCAAGGAAATTGGTGGCTGAAGTCAGCAGCCATACACATGGTATGAAAAAGGGGCAATTAACGTGATTCTCTCTTGGAGGAAGTGCTGATTCAAGGTATTCCAGAGACTTAGACGACTCAGAGGTGAAGTTAGTGTCATAACCATGTGATTGGTAATAAATTGAGATTTGCAGATGGTAAACCTAAGGGAAGCCTACCTAATACATAACAGTTGTATAAAATATATGTCACTCTAACTATATACACAAGGATATAGTTCTGATGCCATCAAATTGACTTCCATGAAAAACTGTCATGCCTTCTCTCTGGTTTCCTTCAGTAAAGCCATCAATGCCTGAAACAACAGCTCTAGGAGCTGCTATGGCAGCAGGAGCTGCAGAAGGAGTTGGAATTTGGAGTCTAAGCCCTGGAGATTTGACAGCAGTGACATGTGAACGATTTGAACCACAGATCAACCCAGAGGGTAAAAACATCTAAGAACTTGCAAACTTAAAATTTGATGTCCAATAATAGAACAGGATTTTTCCTTTATTGCATTAAGCTATATGTAATTATCCTCAAAAATGATGAAGATCAGCAGTGTTTGCAGTGTTTGGTTTAGGAAATAGTGCATTCTGCTTGCTGTTTTGGTCATTTGTTGACTAGTAAGATTGGAAAAAATGTTTAGATGTTATAATACAGAGGAAGTGGAAAGTAGAAAACGGCGTGTGTGCTCTTTTCTTTGGGTGATGGGTTTTTGTTTGTATGTGTGTTTTCTTGTTTTTGTCTTTAAAGCTTGGCAACTGGCATTGCAATTAATGGCTTTTGATTTATATCAAGAGAAAACAAAGAAACCTGTGTTGGCTTTTCATTTCTCAGTCTTTAAAGCTTTTCACTGAGAAAGGTGATGTCTCCGAAAGCTCCTGTACGTTTATGAGTTTTCACAGATGTAGAGAGGTCAAACTAAGTTTTAGGAGACTCTTTAGGCTTTAAAAAACCTACAGCAATCATTGTTTTTTAGGTAACTCTTTCATCAGTTCTTAAGTGCTCCTAGAGACAGGAAAGCATATGCTTGACCTAATAGTTATCCCATGTGCCTAACAAATGCATTTTTGTCTCTTTAATTGTTTTTTTAACTTTTTGTATAGGTTTTTGTTTTACATTCCAGTTTGATTATAATTACTGCTATAATCCATACTTCAAGTCAGTATTTTCAACACTGGAGGATTTCTACATGAATAATAATTGTTTCATTTCATCCTACTTATAAATCTGCTTATTGGTGAACACGCACAAAGTTGTTTTTAAGATTTATTTCTCCTTACTGGGCATGATTACTTTTTTAATCTATTCAAAACAATATTTTGCATTTTGTGTGTGTGTGTGTGTGTGTGTGTACAGACAAACTATAGTATGCCAAGCTGTGGAAAGCCAAGACTGTAGACTCTGCTTCTTAAATGTTTGTAACTGTATTCATATAAATTTAAAGACTTTTCTGTTTGCTGATTTCTCAATTTCAGAAAGTGAGTATCGTTATGCCAGATGGAAAAAAGCTGTGATGAAATCTATGGGCTGGGAAACATCTGAAGCTCCTTCAAATGGTAAACCAGTGATTAATGCAGGTTGAGTATTGTTAATTAGCCAGTTAGCATAGTTAATTAATCTTGAGATTAATGACCTTTTCTGTTCATACCATCACTGGTCTATTCAATTGGTTTAAAACGATTATTTAAAAGAGCTGTGGAAACAAAGCAGGAAGTAGATAGGCTTTCTTCTTGAAAGAAGAACACAGGCAGCATCTTGTAGACCTCTAAAAACAGAGGTGATTAAATCAGGACTAAACTACAGGCTTTGCAGTATAGCATTGTTTTAAAAAAATCCTCCCTAAAATAATAAATTCAGCACAATGCTGAGACAGTGCAGTGATTTCTTAAACTTTCCTATACTACGCCTTCATGTTGCAAAAGAGAAAAGCTTCATCCTGTGATTATTTTTCTTGCAATATCTTGCTTTATCCTATGCTGTATAGGAAGGAGGGATGGATAACCGTCCTGAAATCTGTTTGACCCACAAGAACTAAGAGCAAGAACATATCATAAAGTAAAGAATTGCACAGACCTATTGCATGCATACAGAGAATATACAAATGCTTGTGAGGGATTAAACAGGGTATTTCTTTTGAAATAGAGGGCTTTTGCATCTGGCAAGTTTGAATTAAATAAAAGCTGCAGTTTTCTATCATCTGTAACTTGAGTTTATATTTCTGCACCGTTTCGGGATAAGTTTTCAGGCCTGAATCAAACTGCATGTCATTTGTAGGTCTTATCTTCATTTAATTTTGTTTCACTTAAGCTGGATAAGTGCTAGAATGAGAAGTATACAATTTTAAAGTATATTCAAAATGTAAACTCTCCCGATAGACACTTCATGCAGTGGCAACTGTGGTTAACTTTATTACTGAAAGATAAAGCTAAAATTTTCCTTTTACAATACTATATATACATTTAGGTATCTTATTTAACACTGTGGTTGTGCAAACAATTCTCTCAATCCTGTATAGAAGGCAAATAAGTATGTTAGCAGGAGTATCAGGATTCATTTCAGTATTGTCCATTATGATTTAGTAGGCTTACATCTCAGCTCTGTATTATGTAACCTAAAATTCCACAGGGATGCGTATCTTACCTATTTATCTTTGTTTTCTTTTGAAGCATAAACAATTCTATCTTGCGGAAAATAAAATCTTGCTCTTCAACTATTGTGAAAAAGGGATGTTCATCAAAATCTACCTTCAGCGATTACCTGTTTTACCACTGGGGGAAAAAAATAGATGTTTTTCTTTGTTCTTTCTTTGACACTTTGCTTTCTGCCTGTTAGAAGCATTTAAGATTGAAGAATACTAGAAATGGGCTCAACCTAAATAGTTCTAGCAGGGGAATTTGGATTTAAACTCTTATGATGAAAGCCTATTTCAAATTATTGTGGGGGGTTATGCACAAACTTTTTTGGCTTTTCTGCTAATGTCACTACCTTTGTTACTTTTTGCTGTTCATATGATTTTTAACACATATGCTGCAATTTATATATATATTTCTCTTTTGATTTGCTTGACTGGAAACACCTTCCCCTGGATGACATCAGGTGACACTAGTATCTTCTGTAGTCTGCCTTTGGGTTTTTTTATTATGAGTAGCATGATAATGTTAATCGGAGCAAAGTACGTCTCAGGTTAGTTATTACTTGAACTAGATCATTTTAAAAGCTATCTACGCTAGTTTAAATGTTGAGTTTTTTATCTTCTATCTGTTTATTTTCAGCAAAAATGATGATGATTTTTGTTGCTCATGCACACGAATGTTTATAAGGTTATGAATTAGACATACAATACTTAAGGAAACCAAGCAAAGATCATCTTGAATTCATTGTCACATGCCATGAAATTCATGTTAGATGTTCGTGAAACCTTGAGCTATCCCTTCCCTTCATCTAGCTACTGCAGACCGTATACAGGTTATAAAAAGGAAATAGGTTGGAGCAGCCAGGCAGAGTTTTGCATTGCCTGCGTTACAATTAGAGTAAGTTTCCATCCTTTGTCTTGTAGTTCTTCTCATTAAAATTAAAAATCATTTTGAGGATTGAGAAGGAAGGCTTCTCTTCTGTCCCTGAAAGGCTTCAGGGACCCCTTTTTCTGGTCCCCTGGGAACTATTATATGGATAGAAAACTTCTTCCATTAAATCTATAGAGTATTCTTTTTGTACTTTGCTCTTCATTGGATAAGTGAATTTCATTTTTTGTAAAGAGAAGAAACCCTGATAAGCCTCTCCACAAAAACAGTTTTAAGGGATTGTGTGCATATGCAATGAAGATGCATCTTTAACCCGTTCATAAATATCTTATTTTAAAAGAAAGTTGATACTGAAGAGAACAGTGTTAGTTACTTGTGCCAGAAATAAGACATTTTATTAACATATTTGTATGGTAAGAAAAACAAGTCTATATGGCAGTCATTTGTTTGTAGTTTTTGTGTTTCATAATTTCATCCCAAATAAAATGTTTTACAGTATAGCTATTATTACTTCTCAGTGAGCTTCTTAGGAGTGGTTGTTTTTTTGGGAGGAGGCTTCTTTTTTAATTAAACAAACTGTTAAAGACTCTATCATGCTCCTATGGTGATGTGTTTGTATTTTGCTTTTAGTCATTCAGCCTGAATTTACCATTCAATTGTATTTTTCCTTGCATGAAGAGACTGTCTGAGCTTATAGGAGAACTAAAATCAAACTAATCAGATGCTCAGTAAAAATCAAACTGAACAAATGGATTGGCATTGATTTACTAACTCTGGAATGTTTCTGTAGATGAGAACAAGCTTGTTTATGAAAAGCATAATAAAACCAGCTGTGAGTAAGTGGGTAAATTTTTAACAAGCTGAACTAAGCAACTTGATTGTGAATTGCAGGTCAAATTTTTGACCACATGGGGGATACCTACCATAATATGAAAAGCAGCAGTAAGTGGGCAGATAAGCAACTTAAAATCTGGGTGAACAACTTAAATTTTGGGTGTATTGCTTTTTAAAAACAACTAATCAGTAACCTGTATATATATATCTAAACTCATACTGTTGAAACCCATAAAAACCGACTTTCTTTCCCTTCCTTGAAGTTGTCTGTGCTTTTCTTTCCCATAAATGGAAAATATATTCATCTCAATTCACTCTGGCCTTCAAAACCTATCTTTGCTCTTGTTTTCAAGTAATAATAACTTAGGGAGTTTTAGTATGTAATTTACATGATAATTTACATGGACAGGAGAAGTTGCAAGAAATTTCCATTTTTTTCTTTTTTTAAACATAACTTCTAAATAGGACTAGCATCAGTGATGATATGTACAGGTTGTAGTTTTGCTCAACTGTGTGTTAGGATAGAATGTAATATAGAACTTGTATTGCTGATGGGAGCACAACTGCTTCCCTGTTAGACGTTTACTCTGATAAATCTCCTTTTGCTTTAAAAAGACAGAGCTAACTGACCAGACTTTCCTTCTAACTTCAGTACTGGAACTCCATTAATTAATTTGTTACATTTTATCTTTTAATGAAACAATGGAACTCCAACGCAGTCATCAGTATAGTAAGTTTGAGGATTGAATCTACTGAGGATTGAATCCATACTTCATGTGCTGAAACAGCAGTAAGTCTTACATAGCAACAGTGTTATTGTTAAACATGTATCTCTAGGGCAGGGCTATGATTTTACAGTTGCTGAAACGTAAGAGAAAAATCTGCTGTGGCAGAGTACAGAGCACTAATGTTGCAAAAACCAATATAGGGTACTGCTAAACTAACTGCTTTTTCATGCAGTACCTCAAGACTGAATATGAAGAACAATGCTGCATTTCATGATATTGTTTCATGATTTCATCAAAATCAGGTCAATTATTTGCACTTTATTTTATGATCTGCATTCTTTTTCTGTCCAGTGAAGAAAGGACCAATATTTTATTTTATTTCATGCTTAAAACAGGTTGTATGTAGCAATTGGAGTCCTTATGCAAAGATTTTGCAAGTCTTTCAAACTAATTTTGGAACTGGACACCTGAGAGATTTCAACCTACTGTGCAGCTATACTCTTTTTGAGGGGGAAGGGCGAAGTGCCTTTGTATGCTTAAATTGGCTCAAGTGAGATATAAAAACAGAGAACTAGTTACTTATGGGATCTTATGCTACATATGGGATCTAAAGTCCTTTGACTTTATCCTCACAGAACAGGATGTCAGGACTGGTAGTGATGTCATATTCCTCCTACCTAAATAGTCTTAGTGCTTTATTTTTTCTAAGATTCTATTTTTCCTGTTTAGTCTTTTGTGTTGTGATAGTTTGTGCCAAACTGCAAACTGTTTTATATATAGGGATCACTATGCAGTTCTGCAAGTTAGCTGCAGTAATATTTCCTGTACTCTGAAATCTGAGCTGATATTCAGAAAATATTAGGCTTAGAGTACCCTTCTTCAATCCTTCTACTTGTTAAAAGTTTACCCATCTTGATTAGTGTGGTCTCTTCTCTCTTGCTATATGCACATCCCACACACTTAAGAGTGCTGGCTTACATACGTGCAGTTGTGGCACAAGATACATCTAATTGCCTTTTTACCATTACTTGAAAACGAAGGATGATTATACAGAACTCCTTCTATAGCTCAGCTGTATTATAGAGTGCTAAAAATGTTTTAGGGTAAATTCTATGCTACTAATGCATATTCTTTCCTATTTAAGGTACTGATAAATGAGACTACTTAATGGATTACCTGGATGCAGCTGATTCTTTTTTTTGTTTGTTTGTTTTACGTATGAAGAGATTCCACCACCGATGTGATAATACTGTTTGAGTGACTGAATCTATTTATAAACCCATCTGTTGCCAGGCCTTGAGCAACCTCCCTGTGGTACACTGAACTGAAACTTAGTCATCGTCCTGTGACTTCTCTGCTTCCTTCCCCACCGACTCCATTACACTGGAAGCCTTTGGGTTGACTGTCTCACATCATGAAATTTTAAAATTTCAGAAGCTCTAGCTTTGAACTTTGGAAAGTTGCCATTTACAAAACTTCTGGGGTAATTTCAGATGTTTTCCTATCCTTTTCAGGGTTTTGGTACTTTATAAAATGCACTGCAGAAAATTATAATGATGCACTATAGATGTTTGTAAGCATCTTGTAATGTTTTTTCCAGCTGCTGTGAATTACCTATCATATTTCTATGGTTGCCAAAGATGTGTTGTTTTTGTGGCCATTGATCTGAAACACCTTTAATGGTACAAACCTTTTAAATACTAGCTCAAAATGTATCTTCAGTAGCACACATTGCCACTGGTTTGGCAATGAAGAGGTTGCAGATATGGTCACCAGAGTACGATCAAAATGATTGATCCCGAAGTTAAATAGAGGTTGGATTAGGCTTCTGGTATATGTAGCCAGTCTGCCTATTAATAAGTATTTAAGACACTAAGTCCTATAACTTTACCTTTAAAGAGGTAGGAGTAAATAGACATTTCAGTTAAGGCTATGTTTCATGTTCTTATCTGTTTGAGTTTGTTTTGAAAGACAAATTTGATAGAGGGTGCAATTCAAAAGAGAACTTCTTAGTCCTCTGTAGCTGGTAACTCTTAAAATTACTCTTAACAATATACTTTTCTTGACCAATACTGCATATGTTCTGTCATCCTGCTTAAGGATATTTTGGTGATTACATGTTAAATTTTTGAAAGTTGAAGATGAATTAGTTTTCCTTTAAAGAGGGTCCACTCCCAATTACATATCAGTGCTCTAGTTCTTGATCTCATTTAGTATATCTCAGGGACCAAAATCTCCCTTTCAATTTCCGTGTCCATAGTTTTAACAGCAAGTTTTCCCAAAATATGCTTGGTCAACCCAAGATCCTGGCCTAGAATTGTAAGCACCTGGCACCTGAAACTGGCCGTTGGAATTCAGAGGCAACATGGTTGAAAACTGAGTTGCATCCACTTTGAAACTTTAGATCCTCCGTAGGTAAAGGAGTGAGGCAATAAACTTCAGCTTTCCTGTTGGTATCAGCAGCATGAGAAATGCTGGCCTTATTGGACAGGTCAAAGAAAATGTGTTCTTGTATAGTGTCACTAGATCTCTATAGAATGATATTGAGGTGAAATGTGGGAACAATAACTTTCAAAACAAATTACAAAGATGTATTTAAATGCATGAGGAGTTAAAGGGAGTGGCTTTTTGTGTGTGTTTGTTCTTAAAGGTTTTTATCAAAAGAAGTTATTCTTTAACAAAGTTTATTTTTTCTTCATTAAACTGTAAATAGAGGTTTAGTTTTTAAAAGAAATGTTAAATATATGTGTGTCTGAAGCAATGGATTGCATAGAAATTTAGATCTGTACAATATATTTAATATCAAATGCATATTCATTGCCTTTTTATTATAAAGTGCAATGACCTTTGAAAATGTGACTTTTAATTCAGAAGTTAGAGAAGGAGTATTTTCCTCCTCTGATTGCATGTATAAATTCAGCTGAGGGGATTTTTATGCACAGGTGAAAATATAACACCAACATTCTAATCCCACAACTCCTGTAAATACCTGAATGTGAGGTGCAACAACTAAAACTTCTGGGTTTTCCAGTTTATATGGAGAGGTGAATAAAGAGTGAAAAATGAACATGAATCTGTAGAAAAATCTTTATATTCCTTACCTTTTCTCCAAGCTGTTGATGTTCTTACACCGCGGAACAGGAGTTAACAGCAGCTTTTGGAGCGTACAGGTCAAGGGCAGCACAGACCTCAAAAACCGACTTCTGAGTATGACTTCTTGCCAAAAATACTGAAGTAGTGAAACTGGGAATGGTTAATGTTGAAATGTTGCCTTTGCGAGTGGTGTATGAGGCAGAGGGAAAAAAAGTAGCGTGTATTATTCAGGAGGGGGATTTTTTTGCTGCTTTTTCTGATATATCTTTTACTGAGTAACATAATTCCTATTACTTTTTCACTGAGTAAATATCATAATTTTATTTTCAATTGCTGTTGCAAGTATTTTTTAAGAATCTCATACCACTGTAAACTTTCTACCAACATAGTTGAATTCAGTTGTAAACTGTGCAGGGGCAGAACTGCTGAAAAGTAGCTTTTGTGACTAGAAAGCTATGAATTTTTTTTTTTCTATAAATTACCAGATTTATAAAGTCTTACTTGTGAAATGCATTCACTTGGTATTAAAATACCGTAAACAAACTGGTGTATTTTGTCATTTTATTCTTGCATGTCATCTTGCAGATACGTTTTCATTAATATTTTTTATAAGGACCATTAACATGCACTGAGACCTATTAAGCAATAGCGCCTCCGCTTTAAGTCTTGCACACACATACTTTAACTTGCTGAGACACATGGATCTAAAATATGTGCTACTGGGTTGGGTTTTTTTCATGATATATTCAATTTCATGGATTGGATTAGAAACAACTCTGACTTCTTCAACCCCCACCATTCAGGAAAAAGCAAAGAATTATAAGAAGACAAAGAGGGATACAGTCCTAATATATTTGGTTTGAAGGCTGCAAACAATATTGTTTGGTGATACTGCTGAAGATTAAAAAGCTATTATGAGTTGGGCGAAAGAGAAACATCAATGAAATAGAAAACATTGCTGAGGGCAATATCTAGAAGTAAATGAAATATCTGTTTTTTAAAAAATAGAATAGAGGGTATGTATATACAGCAACTCCCTTCAAAACCATCATGGGGAGGATACATTTATGCAGTGTGCTTGCCGTGTGCTTGCCACATTCTTTTTCTTTTATCTGTACGTAAATCAAAATTGTATTTTGCACGTCTACTGCCACATAGTTATACCAAGGATGTAGCCTTCAGCCATAGTCTTTATGAAGTCACTGGTCTCATATATCAAAAGTGATTGTGTGAGCCAGAAACAAATCACGTGAATATCATGTAAATTATCATCACAGATTTTGACTAACACATTATTACTCAATAACAGACTTCTACATCTGCTCATGAGGTTTTAAAGCTTTCCTTGAGCCTTGCCTTTAGCTGTATTTACAAAAGCATACTGAAACTTCATGGTTCATCAGAGAGGAGAATTATGAGAACAGAAGAATATTCTTCTAATTAGTACAAATAATTACACTTACTTTAATATGAAGTTTTATTTACATGTATAACAAGTGCTTTTCAACAAAAGCTAATATACTGTCTAGTCTGCTGTTGTAACCATGTGCAAACAAACTTCTTAATATCCATGTCTGCGTCCAATAATCCTCCCATCTAAAGAAGCTTGAATCTGCTCTGATTGGAATGCCACCCCATTAACAGATGTAGCACAAGCTCAGAGTGATTTTTTTTTCTTATTATTATACTCGGCTGGCATTTATGGAAGCAGTACACATAAATCCTGGAGATGAGGACAAGCAGATGACTAGCAGCACTTTAAAGCATAGAAATAATACCAGAACAGTGCTAGAATTATTCTCCTATGCTTTCCCTGCTGATCAATGGATCAGTGGTGATCAAAGTTGATAGCAAACCTGAGTAAGTTAATATCTTCCCCCAGTACTCTGTGTATATTTGCAGAAGATATTGAAATGTTTCTTTTTTTCTCTACAATTTCAGGAAAATAAATTAAATTGCTAGATATAGGTCAGTCCTCTGGGAATATAGAATGATAGCTCAAGTTTACCAAAGCTATTTGTGACAAGTTAATCCCTATCGCATACAAACAAAAGAATGCCTGAGCCTCCAGTCACTAGTGGTGTACTCCAGGGGTTGATAATCTTTAACATCTTCATTAAGGACCTGGATGATGGGGCAGAGTATAGGTATAAGGATACTTTTTCTGGTTAATACCTTAGCACTCAAATATTTCGGTCTTCATATAGACATCGTGGCGATGCTGCACTTTTACTGGTATTGCTAGCATTTTAGATGGGAAATGATCTAAAAATCTCTGTATTATCATGGCAGGATTGCTTTATTGCTATCTCATTTCTGTTCATTAAGGAACTCTTTTGCAAAAATAGCCTTGGCATCTTGGGCTTGAACTGAGCTCAGCTGTTTTCCCAACAAGTTTAATGGATCACTGTTCAGGCCAAGTCACATAATGCTTCTAATTTAACAGAGCAGAATAAATATAGTCTATGCAAAAGTAATTTTTCTTGAGTGAAGACAAACTTTTAAAGACTATGATAACGGAGTTAATTGTAACAGTTAAAAAAAAACCCTCAGGTGACAGTTTCACGTTATTTCAGCATGTGCACTGGTATGATCTATTGACTTTTTCCAACTCCCTTCTTGAGTTTTCCAGTCCCCTTTGTTCCTTAGCAAATGATCTTTACTAGCATCACATATAATTGAAATTTTCCAAAGAATAACAAAACATACTCATCACCACTGTCACTTTGCTACCAGAGCAGATGTTAAGGACGTGCAGTTCTAGTTGCAAAAATAAAGCTCCTATTTGATCAGCTGAGTAACTGTACACCACTGGTCCAACACACGGCACTCCTTTATTTAAGGAAGGCATGTTTTGTACTCAAAAGCCATTTGAACAGATGTGATATTTATTATGCTCATTTTCAACAAACATACATTTAGTTTGCTTTTTTGACGTTTTCATCGTTTGTTAGGGCTGCCTAAATTAGCATTAAGTAAATGTCACAAGTGACTTGAGAGAAAATTGTAAATGATTGTGTAGTTTATAAACCACTGCAATATAAAATACTTCTATACGATTATGGTAAGTTCTGCTTTTAATTTGGAGCCTTTGATTGATTAAAAGTTTAAAGCATAAATAATATTTTATGAACAAAGGAGCAGAGAATAGTTTTAGCTTTCTTAATCATATTTTGCTTTTACTGAAAAGCACCAACTGTTTATAATTAAAAACAAGACACTTGTTGGCCATATAATTTTTCATGAAAGCTAAATTCATTTATAATTAAAGGTGCACATTTTACAATATGACAAATTGAACAAGTTGTGCGTAGGCGGCAGATTAAGTCTTACTCCCTTACCCGTATGCACTACATAAGCAAGTGCATTCTTATTGCACCAATTTCTGGATTGATGCAACAATCTGGACCATCTCTTTTGATGCTAAGGTATCCGCTGTGATTACACTTTGTCCTAGTGTAGCTACTTGTCTGCTAAATACCGAAAGAGTTTCTAACCTCGTTGTCTGTAGGTGGGCAGACAACCAGCAAGGACACTTGTCCTCCATCGGTAATCTGTAGTTGAATCAGTCATCTAACGATCAGACTTTCTAGATCCCATTGAATCTTCTTTTCTTTGTTTTTCTTCTCTTCTTATTCATTGGCTGTTTTGTTGTGTGCCCCTCCTATGTGCTTAAATCACTTCATCAGTCTCAAAATAAGGCTTAAATGCAACTACACGTTTTTTTAATACTTGTGCTAGACTATTATAGTGTGGTAAATGTCATGCCAGCATTCATTATTCTGTTGTATTTCTTTTTTAAAAAAGTATCATGTCAGGGATCCTATTAGAGATGAAAAAGGCTGGGTCTCTTAACCATCGCTGATTCATTCTGTTAGCTCTGTCTGCAGTAGCATGTAAATTTAAGCCTAGCTCTTAACACATTAAAACTGTTAAGCCTCCTAGGATTCACTCTATCTATCACCTCTGTGACTGTGCCTAGAAGCCCTCTAGGAGCAGAGCACCAAAACTGAACCCGCCCCGGGTGGCAAAATTGTGCTCCCCCAGTGCAATAGCACAGCAAAGCACCTGCCAACTCCAGTAACTGCCTCCAACTGCAGGGCAGTAAAAAGATCCTCACCTTGCCTGTTAGTTACATCTAACGGTGCGAATTTTCCTTTCTGACCCTAAAAATCAAAAACATTAACTGAAATCAGGTGGTTTTAGTGCACCAGCAGAGATGACAGCTAGCATAGGACTGACTCTACCTTTTTGCATCAGCAAAAATTTTACTTTGCCTAGAAGGATGGAAGTACACTGATAACATCAGCAATAGCTGGGAGGCAGTGTAATAAACTGTTTCCTGCCACCTCTTCATTCTCAGCTGCTCCATTTCTGACCTTTCTCTCATCTGAGAATGACAACCCAAATCATGGGACAGGCAGCTCACCTAACCAGGGCCCTAAGCTTAGGCTCAACATCACAGAATCACAGACTGGCCGAGGCTGGAAGGGACCTCTGGAGATCATCTAGTCCAACCCCCCCTGCTCAAGTAGAGTCATCTAGAACACATTGCTCGGGAAACATGCAGCATAAAAAGATCCAACTACTTACGTTACTTTTATGCCCCACGCTGCTCAGCCTCGCTACCTTTCAGATATGTCAGACATCTGTCTTCACAGTATCCCTGTGGGCTGGCAAAGTTTGCAAGCCCTTTACTTGAATAACGAATGATGTGCAAAAAGGATTAAATTTGGACTTTCAAAGACAGTAAGGCACCATGCTCATAATAGGCCTAAGTAATTCGTTCAGGGTCACACAAGAAGCCTGTGATGCTTTTGTCCAAGGCTTTCACTCTCAAGCAAGACAATATAGATAGGTGTCAGTAGGTTGGCCAAAGAATAAGCCTTTAATCAGCATGACAGTAAAGGACAAGTCTCATTCAGCCATTCACATCATGTCATCTTTTCCTATATGACATTTAATAAGCTGTTGAGATTCTTGATAAAAATAAAAAACATTTCAAAGTCCAGAGTACTGTATTGCATATATTTATGTATAAATTTAGCAAGTAAATGTGTAAAACAAGTTGACTTAAAACACTATGAAAGTTTTAATTTCAATTTATTTCAGTATGGAAAAGGAGTCCAATAAGTCTTACAAATAAACCTTGGTGAAAGGATTTTAGCGGAAAATGCTGGTGCTTAAATTGCATTAACTATGTAATGCTATTCAATGATGTGGCTTTCTCTGCTGCTTTAGTGATGGAGCAGGAATAAAAACACCATGCAGAAACTACTCTGTACAAGAGTGGATATTAGTCACTTCAGACTCTTCCCTGATTAATCAAATGCATTCACTTACCTTTCAGGGGGTAGGAAAGTAATATTCTCAGTGGTGAAAAGCAGCTGGATATCATTAATAGCTTAAAAGCAGTGGTAGTGCTTTCGTCACTTCCACTTTCCAGGATCATATTCTCTTCCCTTCTTTCTGTATCGTTTTCAGAGCCACAGCTTCATTTTCCTTGTTCTAATGTAACAGACTCCAAATGATAGCTTTCTGGC